CATTTTTAAATAATTTTTTATTCTGCAGCCTGTTCTTTGACAAATGGGGATAGTAATACTATCTAATTTCTAGAATTGTGAGTAGTAATTTATCCATGGAAGAGGGTATAGTACAGAACATTGAAGATGCTTAAAACTACTGTTATTAAAATATAAATGACAGCCTCCCTTCCACTGTAATCATCAGTAACTAATTTAGATACAACTTACTGAGCTAACTCACTGAAGAAAATGAATTATGAGTTGACCACATAAAGTGGTACAGGAGCAATGAATAAGAAAAGAACACTTCTGCCTGGGAGGTGGTATGAAAATTGACTCTGTCATCAAGAATGCACTCACTCCCTCAAAATTCTAAATTCAGGAGCACCTCAAAGTTTCTCAAACCATAGGGTCCCAATAGCAAAGGCCTCACTGACTTCCTCAGAAAGTATCAGACTTTTGACCCACTGCATCCTGTGCTCTTTAGGAGTGACTATGGCTTAATGGAAAGTAGCATAATGTTGGAGGCCTAATTTTGCTGCTTTCTGTCTGTTAACATCTTTGAGCTGAATTTCTTCATCTGTAAAATGGATATATAAGAAAATCTTTGTTTTCTGTCTTGTGCAAAGTAAATGAAATGATACATGTAAAAACAGTAGTTGTGACACAATGGGTACTCAATAAATGCTATTTCTCTACCTCACTAGTTAGAAAGCTGTATCTTTGTTTCTCTACCTCCTGATATCTGGAATTTTGAATGTTTACTGAATGAATGAGTGAATAAAAAAAGAGAAATATAGTGATGAATCTGTTGCTATGAGAAAACTCACAAATACCATATGTATACAAGTAAAGAATTCATTTTTATATTAATTGGTGAAAAACTGTATGTGAAAATAGCTTAACTACATTACTGAAAAAAATTTTGACAGCTTTATGAAAGTATCAATTTATGAAGTATACAATTTAGTATCTTTAAGCATATGTATACTAAGTAATATATATATATATATATATATATATATATATATACTTTTAGCATATGTACACTAGTAAAACCATCAAGCCAATCAAGATAATGAATATATCCAGTACTTGAGATTCCTCAAGTACTTTTATATCCAGAATATTAAAATTCCAAAATATTCAAGGCTTTTTTCCCCTTCCTATTTCCTCACCATGGCCCTTGGCAACAACTGATCACCTATCACTATAGATTTGTTTGCCTTTTCTAAAATATTATATGGATGAAATCATATAGTATATTTTTCTTCTTTATCTTTTTCACTCAACATAATTGTTTTGAGATTCAACCATGTAGGTACTTAAATCAATAAATAGGTTATTCCTTTGTATCAAAGATGAAAAGTCCATTGTATGGATATACAACCATTTGTTTTTCCATTAACTAATAATATATATTTGGGTTGTTTTCAATTTCAGCTACTACAAATAAGACTACTATAAATATCATGTTCAAATATTTGTATGGACATAAACTTGGGTAAGTACCTAGGAAGAGATGTTTGGATGATATAGTAGATAATTTTTAGCTTTTTAAAGAAAATGGCTAACATTTAACATAACATTTCCAGGAATGATGAAGTTCCATAGCCTTCTCATCCTTCCAATATTTCATGGGATCAAAATATATTGTGCTTTTTGACATTCCTATATCATCTTTGATAAAGCATCTGTTTGAGTCTTTGGTTGATTTTTTTCATTATTAATTAATTTATCCATTTTAATTAAGTATATATGACAACAATGCATTTTGATTCATTGTACACAATTGCAGCACTTTTCATTTCTCTGGTTGTACATGATGCAGCGTGACACCATATGCGCAGTCAAACATGTAGCTAAGATAATAATGTCCATCTCCTTCCACTGTGTTTCCTGTCCCTATTCCCCCTCCTCATTCCTCCCTCCCATTTGCCCCATCAAAGTTCATCCTTTTTTCCCATGCCCCCCCCAATATGGATCAGCATCCACTTATCAGAAAGAACATTCGGCGTTTGTTTTTTTGGGATTGGCTTACTTTATTTAGCATGATCTTCTCCAACTCCATCCATTTACCTGCAAATGCCATAATTTTATTCCCTTTTAATGCTGATAGTCCATGTGTATATATACCACAGTTTCTTTATCCATTCATCTATTGAAGGGAATCTAGGTTGCTTCCACAGTTTAGCTATTGTGAATTGAGCTGCTACGAACATTGATGTGGCTGTGTTACTATAGTATGCTGATTTTAAGTTTTTGAGTATAGACCAAGGAGTGGGATTGCTGGGACCAATGGTGGTTCCACTCCAAGTTTTCTAAGGAATCTCCATACTGCTTTCCAGTGTGGTTGCACCAATTTGCGTCCCATCAGCAATGTATGAGTGTGCCTTTTCTTCCACATTCTTGCAAACACTTATCGTTGTCTATATTCTTGATAACTGCCATTCTAACTAGAATGAGATGAAATCTTAGAATAGATTTGATGTGCATTTCTGTAATTACTAGAGATGTTGAACATTTTTTCATATATTTGTTGATCAGATGTATATCTTCTTCTGCAAAGTGTCTGTTCAGCTCCTTAGCCCATTTATTGATTGGGTTGTTTGTTTTTTGGATGTTAAGTTTTTTTTTGTATTAGAAATACAATTCCTTTATCTAATATGTAATTTGGAAATATTTCTCCCAGTATGTGATTCATCTTTTCATTCTCTTAACAGTTTTGAACAAAGTTTTTCATTTTGATAAAGTCCAAATAGTCATTTTTTGATTTAATGGATTTTGTTATTGATTTGAATCTAATAAATCTTTATGGGATCTAAGCACTTTCCCCTGTATTTTTAAAGGTTTATAGTTTGGGGGTTTACAGTTAGTTTTGGGATACATTTTCCTAGTTGAACTACAAGGTTAGATCAAAGTTCATTTCTTGCATATGAATGTTTAATTATTCCAGACCCATAAAAAAAAGACATCCTTTCTCCACCAGATAACATTTGTATTTTTATCAAAAATATGTTGTGGTGATGCAGTGACAAAGACTTGTAATCCCAGCTACTCTGGAGATTGAGGCAGGAGAATCTCAAGCCTGGGCAATTTAGGGAGACCCTGTCTCAAAAAATAAAAAAAGGCTGGGTATCCCAGTGGTAAAGCATGCTTGCCTAGCATGTGTGAGACTCTGTGTTCAATCCCTAGTCCATAAAAAAAAATCAGTTGTCCACAGTGGATCTATTTTTGGAGTCTCCATTCTCTTTCAATGATACCCTGGTCTACTGATGTAACGTAACACCAATACTATACTCTCATGATTATTATGGCTTGGTAAATCTTTAAATCAGGTAGTATTACTACTCCAACTCTTTCAAAGTTCTTTTAGCTCTTTTATGCCCTTGGCATTTTCAAATGAATTTTAAAAATAGCTTATCAATTGTTACAAATGTTCCTTCTGAATGTTTAGCTGGTATTTTGCTTCCTCTGTCCATCAGTTTGGGGAAAATTGACATTTTAACATTGAGTCAACACATACACATTATGTCTCTCCATTTGTAGAGATCTTTAATTTCTCTTAATGCTTTCTAAAATTTAGTGTCTGGTCTTACACAGCTTTTAATTATTTAATACTAAATATTTCTTAAATAACCTCAATGCAACTGTATATACTAATTTAAAAAATTTTAAGATAAAGATATGCAATTAAACCATTAAAATTAATAAGTTAATTAGCAATAGTAATACACAAAATTGTATACTTTACACATTGTATAATTTGTATACAAAGTATGAAATTATAAAATCTTATATAAAATTTATGTAATTAATATATAAAATGAACAAACAATAGAAAAATTAAAATTAAAAAGAACTACATTAGTATAAAAATAGAATCTCAGGGACTAAGGATGCAGCCCAGTGTTTGCTTACATAGGATGCACAAGGCCCTGGGTTTGATCCCAAGACTGAAAAAAAAAATATACACACACACACACACACACACATACACACACGCACATATTCCTTTGATACCCAAATAATTACAAGGAAATATATATATATGGCCCAAACTAGAATATATTGCTGGAAATAAAGAAAATTACATTAAATGATAATATATACCATGTTTATGAATTCAAAAAGTCAGTACTATTATGTTAAGTAGATGAGATGTCCATTCCTTTCAAATAAGTCTATATACACAGTGTTATCTCATTCAAAATACTAGTATTTTGTCGTGGAAATTGTAGTCAAATTCTGTAATGTCAACAGAGGTGCAAAGATCCTAGAATAGCCAAGATAATCTGAGAAAAAGTCAAGTTGGAGGATTGACACTGTCTGGGCAGATATTGTAGATACATAAATACAGCAACATAGATGACTCTCACAAGCATAGATAGTAAGAAACAAGGAAGCCAGACCTAAAGTATCTGCTGTTTATTCCATTTAGATAAAATTTTAGAATAGGCAAAACATTCTATAGAAGACAGGATGTGGATTACTTCTGAGATGAGTGTCAATAGGGCTGGGGGAGAGAGACCTAAAGGTAGTTGTATGAGATATGGAAATTTTTTGTGTGTTGATTTGCATGAATCATAAGTTTTTATACATGTATAAAATGTTATTATGCTGTACATTTAAGATTTATACACTTTACGTGAGTTATACCTGAATTTTAGAAAACTGAAGAAAAATGCAAAAAAATACTTAATGGAATTTTTGTGACTATCATAGATATTGATTGCTATGACTTTGATCTGAAACACTACCCAGAAGCTCATGTATGAAAAGCCTGATCCATAGTGCAGCAGAGTTCAGAGTTGGGGCCTTTGGACAGTGATCAGATTGTGAAAGCTCCAATATCATCAATGGACTAATCATTTGATGTAACAGGCTATTAGGAAGTGTGGGAACGGAGCTTCCCTGGAGAAAGTAGGTCACTGGGAGCATATTTTTGAAGGGTATATCTTGTCCTCTAACCTTTACCCCTCCCCTGCTCTTCCTCCCCCCCCTTCCTCTCCCTCTTCCTCTCCCTCTCCTGCCATGAGGTGAGCAGCTTTGCTCTGCCACCCACTTTCCAGGATGTTCTACTTCATCAAAGGCCCAAAGTGATGGGGCAACATGACCATGGACTGAAACCTCTGAAACTGTAAGTTAAAATAAATCTTTTCTCATTTAAGTTGTTTATCTCAGGTATTTTATCACAGCAACAAAAGGCTGACCAACACAGATATGAAAAAATATATATGTGTGTGTGTGTGCGCGTGCGCGCTTGTAGTGTTGTGTGTCTAACATGTATATTTCAAGTATATATTTCAAATATTTCCTCTATACCCTTATACTGTCCTGTTTTGAAGCTATAAGTAAAAATTCAGGATTTTGATACGTTGATGTTAAAATTCATTGAGAAATGCATAAATAGCTACCAGAGTACAGAGTACAGACTGTTTTCTATTTCTATTTTAGTTTTTTCTTTCTTTCTTTCTTTTTTGTTTGGTTTGGTTTTGGCACTGGGGATTGAACTCAAGGTCACTTTACCACTGAGCTACATCCCCAGTCCTTTTTTATTTTTGTTTTGAGTCAGGGTTTCCTTAAGTTGCCCAGGCTGGCCTCAAATTTGCGATCCTCCTGCCTCAAGCTCCAGAGCAGCTGGGAAGACAGGTGTGTGCCACCACACGTGCCCAGAGCTAATGTATTTTTACCTTCCTCTATGTAATTTCCCCCGACTTTCCTTGGATATTATTCATTTTTCTTTTTCCTAATTTCTTTCCTCCTTTCTTTTTTTCTTTTTAAGGTCTGAAATCTAAGTAAAAATTGGCACGATTCTGTGAATGGGACCTTATATGGGCAAAGCCCTGCCGGACAAGGAAGTGAAGCCATCCAGGGATTCCCTGTTTGGCAGAAGGGCTGAGAGTATAACTAAACAAACGAGGAGGTCTTTCAGGGACACTGGAACAGATCTTCAAAGAAGATTCCATGGGTGATTAAAAATCTCTGGGTGGTATTAGAGAGCTTACTGCAGAAAGTATCAAAACCTTGGAAAGCTAATAGTGGGGTCATGAACTTTATAAAGCAGAGTGAACCCCTGAGAGAACAAAACAGAACTCAAAAGAGTTCTCTAAACTACTACATGGGGAATACCAGCAAAACAATAACACCTGGGCGAAAACTTTTATGGGAGAGTCTTTCAACCCCCAATCTCAGGCTCTCTGGCTGTTAAGTACCTTGTCAAGAAATATAATAATAAAGCTATTTCAGAAGTTCTTTACATGTTTCACTTTTTCAACAGTTCTTGTTGTGTTAAATGCTCTAGCAGTAATTAATCCTCCAGTGTAAAATCTTTCAATGGAAAGATTCCAAGTCCAAACCGTTAGAATTTCAAAGGAGTTCCAATGTGATTTTCATTGCTTCCTGGTTCCCTATCTTAGCTACACCCCACTGGAGGCACTGTGTGCCACAGCTCCTACTTTCATGGTCTCAAGTCCAGCCATGCTCTTCCTGCTCCAGGGCATTGGCACATGCTACACTTTCAGCCTCAAAAGCCCTTCTGCCCCCTTGTTCTCCTTATTGCTCAGGGAGCCCCCCACTAGCATCACATATGCTTAAACATACTCCTTGATTCTGGCAGAATACCCTCTGTCTGGGCTATAACACATATTTAAATTGTCTATGTTTTCATCTATCCCTGTCCACCTCCCAACTAGACCTGAGTTACTTCAAGGCAGGTATCCTCTTTAGTTTATCTTATCTCTCCAGCACCCAGGATAGTGAACGACATAAAACAAATTTTGTTGAATGACTGTGAACTATACTTATAGCATAGAAAATAAGCATGTTTTGTAAAATATAAAAAGTTTATGATTTTGGAAACATCAATGTGATCAGAAGTCTGGAAAAAGAAACTGAGAAATGAAAAAGCAAATAATATGGAAATAGGGACTGTGAGCCATTTCTAGATTAAACGAGTCTTTTCTCTATATACCCCAAAGAAATAATAATGTGGCCACACAAAACTTGTACATGAATGTTTATAGCAGCATTATCCATAATAGTTAAAAAATGTAGGTCTTCTATGTCCATTAACAGATGAACAGACAAATAAAATGTAGGATATCTATATAGTAGAATATTATTTGGCAGTGAAAAGGAGTAATGTACTGATAATGTTACAATATGAATAAACCTTGAAAATACTATAGTAAATGAAGAAAGCCAAAAACAAAAAAAACACATTATTTTATGATTCCATTTATGTGAAATGTCCAGCAAAGGCAAATATATAGAGATAGCACACCAATAGCTGCCTAGGTTTGGGGTGGTTGGAAGAAATGCTGAGTGACAGCTAATGAGCAGAGGTTTCTTTGGGGGTAAGGAACTATTCCAAAATTGTGGTAACAATTGCACAACTTCGTCAATATATCAAAAACTGTTTTAAAAGCTGTACTATTAATCAACTTCCATGCACATATGAGTTTTTCAGGATGAACCCAACCTCTACTATGTATAACTATAAAACTGGGGATTTACATTATATGTTAATTATATATTAATAAAGCTATTATCTTTCATTAAAAGTCCCTTTCAGTGGTGCTTGATAAACATTCAGTCAATCTGATGGGCTGGGGATGTGGCTCAAGCGGTAGCGCGCTCTCCTGGCATGTGCAGGGCGCTGGGTTTGATCCTCAGCACCATATAAAAATAAAATAAAGATGTTGTGTCCACCAAAAACTAAAAAATAAATATTAAAAATTCTCTCTCTTTCTCTCTCTCCCTCTCCCTCTCTTAAAAAAAAATATTCAGTCAATCTGAAGGCAGAGACTTTCTGTCACTGGTATGAGTGGTGAGAAGCTTCTATAATTCCTATAATTTGGTAACAGAGAAAGAGGCACGTTGGGCACTGGAACCATTTACTATTGTCGACACTGCTAAAGAAATCAGAGTCAAGCTACCAATATTCCTAGATATACCCAACTCCAAAAATTTTTTTAAAATTTTTAAATTAATTTTAAAAATTTGCTAGGCACAGTGGTGCACACCTGTAATCCCAGCAACTTCAGAGGCTCAGAAGGAAGGAGGGTCACAAGTTTGAGACCAGCCTCAGCAACTTAGCATCCCTGAGTTCAATCACCAGTACCTAGGTTGTTTTTCTGTTTGTTTATTTTTGGTTTATAAGATAGGATGTCTCGTTGCTGTATGTTGTCCAGGCTGGAATCAAATTCCTGGACTCAGTTGATCCCCCTGACAAGTAGTTGGGATGCTAGGTGCATGCCACTGTGCCCAAACCCATCTGGAAATCTTTAAAACAACAGCTCCCACCCAACCATTCTTTCTGAACATAGTATTATTTTTTAAATTTTTTTTAGTTGTAGTTGGACATTTATTTATTTATTTTCATGTGGTACTGAGGATTGAACCCAGTGCCTCGCATTTGCTAGACCAGTGCTCTACTGTTGAGCCACAACCCCAGCCCTGAACATAGTATTCTTTAAGAAAGAAAGCTGTTATGAGGATGCTTTAGTAGAATACATGAACTATTTATTTTATAGACCCAGCCTGGTCTGAATTCAGGCTTGCTGGACATCCCTTGTTATGCCCATGACTTTTTCTATCATCGGTTAATTTTTCATTTCTGAGTTTCATCTTGAACACGCTCTGTGTTTGTATAACTTAGAGACCCACAGAACCCTCTTTAGCCATGGGAAAGAGGTGTATCCACAGTACAAAATGCTCCAAGGCATCAACAGAATATTAATGAAAAATCAAAGGGCAAAGCAGTTTTAGTTTCCAAGGGAAAAGTCAAAGCAAAGAAAATTTGCAAATCAAATTTAAAACAGAAAAAAAAAGATTCAAGATAAAAGGCAGGGTTTAAAAAGGTAAAAAAAAGGCTCTCATTAGAAGCCATTTAGAAGAGCAAACTGTTTCAGGAATTTCCCTTCTTTGTCCTGTCATGCTCTGTTTCTTTGAAAAGGAGAAGATGGGGTATAGTATCAAGGCATGTTGAGAACCTAACTCTAGAAAAACTCTTGAGAAAACAAAAGTAAAATAAGCCACAGAAGAATATTTTTATTAGATTTTCTTAAGAAGGAAAATGGGGAAGGTAGAAGGAAAGCATCTCCTCTTCACCTGAATATGTCTTTATGGTTGGAAGTGCCACTCACCCTGAGAATTAGGGTATGGATCAGTTACACAACAGTGTTGCCTGTGTGTTGGACCATGGATTTTTGCAGTATATGTTCTCCCAAAACAAATTTGCACTGAAAAGAGGTCACATGATTCAGGTCACTTTTTTATGTTATTTGACCAAAGATCATTTGGATGACTTGGCTCCTAATTTCTATGTCTCTCAGGAAAGGGTTACTATGATTAGTCATCTTCTTTTTACTTCTTTCTACTCTTTTGATATCTTTTTTTAATGATTAAAATTTTTAATTTGTTAATTAGACCAGAAGAATCTTCAAAATCATAAATCAGACCCTTGTGTTATTTCAAGTTCTATTTAGTTACAATCTAGGAACAAAAATAAATATAACAAAAATTTCACCAATGTTCATGAATCTATTCTTTGTGAAATTTTCTTAGACTTATTCAAATTACTTCACATATAATATAGTCTTCAAAAGTTGACTACAATTAGTAATTACTGTCTCTAAGTTATTTTTATTTACCAAATTCCACTAAAAGTGGAAATTAACTTTATTTTTAGAGGTGGTAGTATCTTATCACAAACATATTAGGTGGCATTTTTTAGAATGGGCAAAGCCAAATAATGAACAGGAAGGGGGAAATTAATTTATTATTCATCTGTTTAATCTGTAAAAAGCAAAAGACAGGGAGAAGCTAAAGACCTCATATGAAATAGATTGTGTACAAACACTTATTAAACTGTACAGTCCTATGCAAACTAAAGGTGTTATTGACATGGAAATCTAAGGTATGGTTTATTTAGGCAAGAATTAACTTTTCCTAGTCATGATGGCTTGTGCCTGTAATCCCAGCAACTCATACACATAATTACATTGATAAAACTGAAAGATTTATAGCCAAGTTTGCATTTATATAAATAGAATAAGAATTAGCCCTGAGGGACAACAAGCCGTATGGATTTTACCGTGGTAGTAGATTATATTTTCCTAAGATAACCACATCTGTACATACGACCCAACATGCTCTTGCCATGTAATGCTGACACTTCTCCACTAAGAAATGAAGACTTTTCAACAAAGAGAAATATTTCCTTTCCTTAAAACTGGGTGGATCTGTGACTACTGTGGTAGCTGTATTATGTACCTGCAAGGTTAAGTCTTTGTGTTAGTTAGCTTTCTGTTGATGAAACAAATACCAAACATAAATCAACTGAAAAAGAAGAAAGGTTATTTTGGAGGTTTCAGCCCATGGTTGGTTGGCCCTGTTGTTTGGTCCCATGGTGACATGGTACATCGTAAAAGAAAAGGTCTGCTCCATTCATGGTGGCCGGGAAGCATAAATAGTTGGAGTCCTAATATCCTCTTCAAAGTTATACCTCCCAGTGACTTAACTTCCTGCCATTAGGCCTCACCTCTTGAAGGTTCCACCTTCTCCCAATAGCTCCACAAACTGGAGACAAAACCTTTAACACATGGGTCTTTGAGGCACATTCTGTATCCAGACGATAGCAGTCATAAAAGGGGATACTGCTTCCACCCATCCTCTTGGCATGATCACTCTAAGAATCTAGCCACTATATTGTGAGGAAACCAAACAGTCACATGGAAAGGCCATATGTAGTGTTCTAGCAGTGCCTTAGGGGAAATCCCAGGCAATAGCCAGCACCCACGACCAGACACAGGTATGAACAAGGCTTCGGATGATCCTAACACCAGCCTTCCAGACACCCCAGCTGATGCTGAGCAGAATAGAGACAATCTGTTCTCACTGATTCTATCCACATTGCAGGCTTATGAACAAATATAAATGTTGTCCCTATTTTAAGCCACTAAGTTCTAGAGTAATCCCTTGTGTAGCTCTAGGTAACCAGAATAATTATCATCCCCAAAACATTTTCTCAGGAGACATTAATAAATACCACCATGTTAACAGCTTCATCCTTGCAGATCTCACAATTAATGAAAATGTTAATGATAGATAAATCAATGGCAAACACATTGATCATGATCATTTGTATGACAAGGAATAAAAGTTGAGAAAGACGGCTTTTAGTGGGATTTCCTTTTATCACTAGCCACAATTCTGAAAACTGCCTCCTA